AGCACTCTTAGATCCGTTCTAGAACTTCTGCCTTCTGTACTTTTATTCCATCTCCTGATTTTTGGGATGTGATGTGTGAGAGATATTTGGAACACCAATCCGAGTTGTTCTAAATACAGTGTCAATTGAAAGATCTTGAAGACAGATATGATCATGTAGAACAATACATACATAGGAAGAGGGACTACGATGTGACTTATGAGGAGTCATTAGTGAAATTTTTGAAGGGTGATCATTCAATTGAGTTTCCTACTTGCCCTCAATTTTCTCCATATGAACACCATCAGTCAAAGGATGAGGGCATTTCTGATGATGATGTTGATGATGAGGAGGATGGATAGATAGAGTTTAATTTTCTGTTATAGATCTTTCATGTAGAGTTTCTCTATTTAGACACTTCTTGTATGTCTTTGTATAGGTGTAGTTGCACTTTCTGTTTTCATGCATTAATGTTACTTTTGTTCTACTTTAGTTTATATTCTATGTGTGTTAGAGTAGTCTTATATGTTGCACTTTCTACGATATACCTATTGATTTTTAGATATACTACTACTCAGCACCTTTTACTGTTTGTACTTGTACTATTACATTTTTAGTACCCTATTAAAACTGATAAAATTTTCTCTCTTCATACTTCAGTTATACTCTAATGTTTTACACTTTTAAAATTCAAGTTTGGGGAGGGTGAAAAACTTTTTAAAATACTAAACTTTATTTATCCTCGATAAACTATATATTTTTAAGTTATTTTAACACAACCTGTGGTATGTGGTTTTAAATTTAGATAATTATATGTTTGATTTTATAAATTTAATAGTAAACTTAACTAAAAGTTTTTAGTAAGAAATGGTAACTCTAAAAGATAAGATATTTTGTATAAAATAATAGGAATATACTTTTACTATTCAGAGTGAGAAAAATTTTATTTTTGAAACATTAAGGATTTTAGAGCTACACTCTTAAAAAGAATTTAAGACTCTAAAAAATTATTACTACACTAATACACATTTTTAAATAAAAAAATGTGAGAAGTTCTTAACTTTATGAAAAAGATAGTGAAGTTCAAAATCATTAAAGGCTATCAAGATATAGTAATCCTCATATGCAAAAGAAAAGAAAAGAATGGATTAAAAATGATCCTAAAAGAAAAGGAAAAAAAAAAAAATCAATAGAAAAAAAACAAGTGAGGAGAACCTTGAGGAGATAACTAATTAAAATTTGGCTTCACTTGAATTTTCTTAAAGGAAAAGACTTATTTAAACTTCTGAACTTTTAAAAGTATTAGCCTCTTTACTAGTTGAATTCTCATACAATTCTTTTCTTTTAATTCTTCTAAAATTCTTTAATGTGACAATGTATAATTTTTTTTAAATGAATATAAAATCAAAATTCTTAACTTGATTACTGAATATCCTTATATTTCAGTTTTAACTTGAATTATTGAAAAAAATTTTAAAACATTTATGGGATAAAACTAAAAGATTCTTTAAGTGAATCCCACTAACATAAGTTATTATATTTTCTTTAAAATAGTACAAAGTTTACTTGAGGACAAATAACGTTTAAATTTGGGAGAATTGACACGCCATAAAATTACATGTTTTTATCATGTATTTTATGCTTATTTTTAATGATATTGCGCTTTAATGAAAGGTATTTGTATGTTTTTTATTTCAGGTGCAAGAAATGGATTTTAAGAGAAAAATGGGCAAAAATGGAACAAAAATGGGTCAATTGAAGCTAAGGACACAAAAGGTGACCTGGCGCCTAGACGCGAAGACATTCTAAAAGGTTGGTGCCTATGCGCGACAGTTGGGTCCCAAGGCGCCAGAAACGGTTTGCGCAAGATTCAATGAATTTGGCGAATTTTGAAAATGAGCCTTAAGTGAACCATAGTTATTTTCAGAGCTCTATATATATAACACATTTCTCCACATTCAAGGGGGGAGAAAAGAGAAAATTTTTGTTTTTTTTAGTAGTTTAGGCCACTATAGTGTGATTTTTGTGTTTGTAGAGTCTTGTGTGAGTCAAGTTCTGTCAGAAAACTTCAGAGGATTGCTTGGGGAGAAGTTTAAGATAAGTATTTGTACTTTTGTTTAAAATTTTTCTTGTAAACTTGGTTTATATATATATGATGTTTTGTTTTGTTATCCCCATGATTTCTAAGTAGTTTTCTTTTTTTTCTCCTTGTAATAAGAATTAATGATGTGTGGGATTATAATGTTTTAAAGATTTCTGTTATTCAAAGAATTTATGATTGTATTTTCACCTGTCTTCATTTACTTTGTGAACTGGGTTATGTTAAAACCCGTTACAAAACATAATGACTGGAAAGGGCTATGATTTTATAGATGACATCGTATTGTTTAAGTCTGAAAATTGGCCAAAAAGTATGATAAAGAGCTTTGTTATAACTCTGCATGGTGCTTCGTTATTATGTAAGGCCGGTCATTACACTGCATGGTGTTTTGTTACTCTACAGTGTATGTCGTGACTCTGTAAAGAGCTTTGTTATAATCAGTGGGGGTTGGCTGACAGTGTTCGATGGCAATTGGTGAGTGGTGCTTATCGATGGTTGACAAGTGTAGGGTGGCCTTTGTTAGACCTTCAATGTAGAATGTTGAAGTTGATTTTCTTCTCCTCTAAGCTCTAAGCTTCCTCCAGTTCAAGCTCTAGCTCCCTTTTTATGAAATGGGTTGGGCACTATTTATAGAGTTTAGGAGAGGTCTCCCTACAAATAAGAAACGAATATGGGTCACTCAATCGGACAACCTAGAGAGATTCTCTCAATTGGATGACATTTTATAAACATTTAAGGGTCGGTTTGGGACAAATTTTTGCTTGCTTTGTTTTTTAGACCACCGCCACAATTCTGTTGGGCATTGTTTTCTTGCCATTTTTTAGAAATTTATGTGGTAAAAGGCTATTTTTTTAACCTGAGCTGTTAAAGTGTAATGGCTGTAAAAAAGTTGTTGTCTGACATTTTAAAAATCATGTAAATTTGTAATAACCACCACAACTTTTTGAAATACAGTTTCTTTTGTAGCAACTTCACAAAAACTTCTTCAAACAATAGCAGCTACCCCAAACAGACCCTAAGTGTCTTAACGATGTCAGAATTAAGTAATCTTGAGTTCGTTGGATTCGTCTCATCGAGATGCTTGATTTAACTATAAGCTTTTCAATTTGAAATTTATTTAACCTTCTAATTGGGCACTATAAACTTTCAAAAATGGCTTAACTGTTTGATTTGACTCAGATTGAACCAACTTTGATGTCATTTTGTTTGTCTCGTCGATCCAGTGAGTTTGACAAGAAGTTTATTGAAGTTGAATTTCTAGATGATTTTTAATTAAAGATTAATCGTTAATTGCTCAAAAAAATACCTCAAAATTCATTTCGTGCCTCAAGATACATGTTGGAAGACGAAAACGAATATGTTTATATATATATATATATATATATATATATATATATCAAAAAATTTTCATTGTTCGATAAGGATCTGAAAGAGTATATACGAGTAATTCATGGATCTGAAAGAGTATATGTTCATTTTATAATTAATTAAAAAAATATATAACCATTGGAAATTTTCTAAACAAAATATTAAAAGGTTTAAAATTAAGTGGAACGAAGGAATGAAGAAAAGGTTCGCCAAGTACCAGGAAAGAAAAAGAAAGGACAGAAAATGTACCAACAAAGAATTTGAGAGTTTTTAAATTTGAGATTGATGGACTTCATCAAAGTTAGGCTCATAATAAAGTAAAATAAATATTGCTTAGTCATAGCGTACATTGGCTGCATCGTATCGTTTATCACTGATGTCAAAATTTGCAGGCTAAATGAGAATCAAACCCTGCAAGTCAACCGTTGCATGCTTCGCATTTTTTTGATGTGATGTGAGATTTTAAGTATTATGCATGCAAGTTTGAAATTTTAAATTCTTATATATAAATGTATAAGAATTGTGTGATATATGTATATATTATATATATATATGCTCCTATAGCATTGACGCCAGGCATTTGGAAAGAGAAATTGTCATTTGCAAATGATTAGTTAGAGATGCAGAAGCATTTTTTTCCATGATTAATATTCTTTTACAGGGAAATATTTTTATATTTTTTGCAAATCACCCAATTCTTATGTATATCTAGCACTTAAACTTAGCTTTTATATTTATACCCCTCAAATCTTTCATCACATACAAACTATCGCTATTTTAACTTTAAAAACATAAAATATGTATTTTCATGCATGGATAAACACAAGAATTTAGTGATATGCATGACAATTTTCTTAAATTTTATTTTACTGTGTAAGCTACGCTTGATGTTTGTTTATGGCTTGTAGCCATATCAACTCTTAAGGGATAACATGTAACATTGATTAGGACGAATCATGCTCCCTTATTCAATCTTGCTATTTTCAGTTGCAAAGGATTGGAAGAACAAAAAAAGGTTGCAGTTTTACAACTTGTACATTCTACATCTTAATTCAAATAAAAAAAAGGCATGCATCTATATATATATAAATATATATATATATAGAGAGAGAGAGAGAGAGAGAGAGAGAGAGAGAGAGAGTGTGTGTGTGTTTGGATGCAACCCATTTTTACATTAAATAAGATTTAATAAATCTGATAAATTCATATTTATATTTATATTGACGGCAATGGCGATAGGAGATGATGCCCATAGCATGGAATCCGCCTCGCAATCTGATTTAGTAAATCTGAATTTATGTTACAAAAACAATGAACGCGAGAAAGGACGGAATACGAATAATTTAATCTTGAGGAATAAACTGCCAAAAAACATTTATATCAAACACTAAATATCAAAAGGAATTGATGAATGAATTATATTGCAGCACACTTAACAAATACAATCATTCGCATGTCAATGAGCATGTGTAGCATAAACGTTTAGATCAAAAACTGAAAAAATAATTAAGTACATAAAATCAAAAAAAGCAGCACCATAAGAAACAAGACGTAAATATTTTAATGCAGTTTTACAGAGAAAACAAAGTTGATTTAATACAGTATCTGTAAGTTATTGTTTTTTCGGTAACATATGGAAGGCAATAATAAGCATTCTATCAATGTTCGATGGCTTCGATTCTCATTGGGAATAAATCTTTTTACTTAAAGGCAAACAAACAATTTATGACTTACAGTGAAGAAGAGTGAAATTAGGGTTGGGTTTCCTTTGAAGGTCCCTTCTTTGCAGCCTCAGCTGCAGCTTTCTCTGATTCAATCTCAGCAACAATGGCGTCGATCTCCGACTCCTCGAGTTGGCGAAGACCATCCTCTTTTGTCATCACAGCGATCTCTATGTTCTTACCCCCACTCTCGACAACCTGAATTAAAGATAACAGAATTTGGATGGTTCCGAATTTTTTAGCAACTGAAAGTATTCACCTCATATGCAACATAATAAAACAAATTATTGCAAACATCCACCCAATACCTATGTATTTACATATTGAACACCTAAACTTTGCTTTTTTTACATTTACACCACATAAATCTATCATATCACATCAAAAATATCATTATTTTAACTTTTAAAAAAGTAAAATACACTTTTTCATGCATAGGTTCGGAGGGGTGGAAGTAAAATTAAAGTTTAACTGTTAGCTATGTACATACATAAGAATTGAATGGTATGTATGTAAATCTTCCTTTTTTTTGGAATATTTTACATACAAATCAATGCAAGTGTTGCTTTCATCCATGTATAAATTTTAGGAAGATTTGCATACATAACACTCAATTCTTATGTATTTACATATCTAACACCTAAACATCAATTTTTACAAACATGCCCACCTTCCATATCATGAACGTTAAATAGTGGTATTTTTTTTATGTGATATGAATGATTTGGGTAGCATAAATGCAAAAATTAAAGTTTAGGTGTAAGATATGTTAATACATAACAATTGGATTGTATGTATGTAAATGTGGCAACACTTAAATGAAACCCCTGCTTGGGGTTACTCAAACAAAGAAATGGGTTAACCTACTAAACCAAGAAAGGCACATATAAATGACATGCAAAGAACACCACCGCACCGCATCAAGAAAATAGCATAATTTGATGTGCATGGTATTTAGGTGTACAAGAATCGCCCCCGATAGGCCAAGAAAGGCGAATATGGGGAGCCTTGGATAAGGACAGCATGAAGTCAGCGATGACTTTATGTTGGAGAAATCACAATGTGTAATGGGAAGGTCTTCATCATCCTGCCGCTCATTTATAAGAGGAGAATAGTGCTCATTGGCGATAAGGGGCTAATGTAATAAGGAGGCTAAGGGGCTAGGCAATAGTTGGGAACATTATGGAGTGAGGCCGCTGTAGATCTACTTTAAATAAGAAAACATTGGCCTGAATTGTTCCAAAATCATTTTAAAGCAATGGTAGAAGATAAGTGCAGCAATCATAGGACATGGCTAAATAAGGGCAGAGCCAGAAACTTTTTTTAGAGGGGGCATACAGTTTTAGATGTGTTATTTTTAATTGCTAGGTGATGTGGGGATGATCAGAGGGGAGGCCTTTTGTGGTTAGGCGGAAGAAAGCTACATGCACTCGATACGAACAGAGATGTCAAAGCAAACTTGGTCCAAACATTCTTTACTTCACCAACACAACCAACACAACTCAAATGCATAAAAGATAAGCATCTACAATTCAAGAGGTAGGTCAGCTCTCCTAAATCCTAACCCTAAAACAGAAGACAACAATCTCATCAAACATAATCTAACCCTGAATATATTAAACCCAATTTATAACCCACAATAATACTAACAAATGACTAAAGTCCCCTTTTAATCTTGTGCCTAAAGTAAGTCATCAAATTAATTAGCGACCTCGACGTCGGTGTAACATTACTCTCCTCCCAAAAATATACATTGCCCTCAAGGTGGAAGAGAAGAAACGATTGTTGGATCAAGTCGTATAGCTCCAACATGATATCCTTATCTAGCAATCATTTTTATTTAATAAGAAATTCATAGTGACACTCATGAATTCAAAATACAGTCATATACACATCCTCCTGCCGCAACATAATAGGTTTGTACCCTGACTTCAAGCCAATCTTACAAGATACTGCAGCCCCAAACAACTCGTCCAATAACTCATCAATCATCGAGATGGATAACTGATCAGGTACGACGTCCTCATTCATTGCCCAATAATCCACACAGAAGTGCCAACTCTCATCATTTTTCTTCACTAATGAGACTGAGCTAAAGAAGATGCTCACACTAGGTTGTATGATCCTTGGACTCGATTTCGTCTGTATGTATTAGGGGTAGTAATATGGGCGCACACTGATGGGAGAAACCCTTGATCTCAAAACATACCAAATGAACTGCAAAAACATGCATATTCTCGAAGTCATTGGCCATCTTATTCTGGTCCAACTTTACAACTTTGCACGTTGGAGAACAAGGTAGAGAATGCAAACATGTAATATACATTCAAAATAAAAGAGAATAAAACAACCGTCTTATTCTAGTTTAAAATTGAGCACGTTGGGGAACAAAAGTAGAGAATGCAAACAACATGAAGTATACATTCAAAATAAAATAAAATCAAAATAATTTAAGGAATTACTTTAAGCCATCAAAAATCTTGAGAATATTATATTTTGGATGATAATAACAACTGTTAAAAAAACAATTGAACTAAACAAAGAAAATCATGATCAAAGTGTCACTGACGTGTTAACTGCTTCAAGTGTTGGTTCATGTAGAACGCCCATAACTCCTCCAAATTCCTATAATTCATAAATTTTATTGAAATAAAAAACCACAAGCCTTAATTTGATAATGGAGCCTTGAAAATCCTAGACTAAAAAATATATTTGTCCCGTAAAAAGATGCGGAGAAGAAAGAGTTCAATATGACTACGGAGGCCACCAACACTACTTTCTTGCTAAGGGGGAGCGTGGATCATTGAGCATAAATTAATTTGTTGCCGAGGTATAGTTTTCTCTCACATAGGATCATTATTTTTGTCCACCATTTGATCGGTTGATTCTACTATTACTACAAATAGAATAAGGTTGTTTCATAGGATTGTTGAATACGAGTTTAGAAATTCATAAAGGATGAGCTTTCAGCCAACAAGATCTATTAGGAAAATTTTGGGGAACCTAAAATCCGAAGTAGGAGAAGAGATAATAGGGAAACAAACCAATCAATGAGCTATTTGATATAGCCATTCGGGCATCCGATTGAGAAGTCTAAACCAGATGTCAAGATTGACAGATCTGAATACAAATGTATCGAGAAATTTTTGGAGCGCAAGTTCACGATAGCGAAAATCTTGATGCAGCTCAAAATTGTTACCTCAACACTATCTACAGGTTATTTGTGGGTCGGGTCAACGTAGGCCCAGCCCCCAGTGCCCCACTGAAACTCCGTGCATGGCTATCAAATTATTTGCACAAATGCAATTTTATATTTAAAAATTGATGCAAAACATCAAGCAAATTATAATGGCCCACTATAAGAGCAAAATCAAGAATTCATGGTGCAACCAAGGATCATAATCACACTATAAGATCAAGATAAAACGCTTAACCTCAAAATAATGCTAAGATACCATCTTCAAGAAACATCAATGAAAAGCCTTGATATGGAACTAAAGAAAAAATCAATAAAATCTAAAGTTTAGAATTCAAATATTATTAATGGAAGATCTAAAAATCTTTCTTTTACTTATTGATCTCTCCCTCAATTTTTCACAGTATATTCTCTCTCATCTTTTTAGCATCATGCTAAACCATTTTCACACAACCTACAAGCTAAAAAATATTCCTAAGCCTATCGGCCGTTGGCCACAATTATGATTCTCTTAAATTAGTTTTGGTCACCCTAAACACTAAATCACAAAGAATTAACATTACCTATTCCAAATATGATAACACATTCCCCTAACATTTCTTAATCTTAAAGCCCAAATAACTCCATATTTCAATACTAGTTAAATATATCTAAACTTTCTTTTACCTCAATCCTCTAGCCTCTAAATAATTAAAAAAAATTCACGGAATACTTCATTTCACATTTAATGACATTACCCTACCATTCTTGAGTGGTTTTGGATCGTGGATCCTCCGCCATTCAATACCTAAGATCTGAATCTCCAAGGAGAGCTCTAGGGTTGGCCAGGACCATATTCATTGTTTCAACCCTTGCTTTCAACCACTGCTGCAAATAAAATATTCCAACCACTCAAATATGTCTCCCAAATCCCATTACCCCTGCCATATCAAATGAAAGCTTAGGTTCACCCTAAACTAAGTCATAAATCGTATGTTTTCTGTTAGGGCTGACAAAAAAACTCATTGTTCGTGTGTAGCTCAAGTTCAACTCTTTAAGTAGCTTGTGTTTGAATATTTCGTTAAGTAAATGAGTTTGAATCTTTCGTTAAGTAAACGAGATTGAATCTTTCGTTAAATGTTTTAAGCTCGAATTATAAACAAGCAAAGCATGAAGAACCCTTCGTTCGATTATATTCAACTTGTTTTAGCTCAAAAAAATAATTTATTAAAAAATAATAATATTATAATATTTTTACATTAAAATTTTATGATTTGTGTAACAAGAAAATGTAAAATTAAAAATATATTAAATCCTTTTAAATTGAGTTTTTTTTAGAGTCTGTTTAGGGCAGTTGCAGCTTATTGAATAATCTGCTGATAAGCTGATTAAAAATAATCTGCTGATAAGTCAGGTGCTGTAGCTATTACAAATTTTTATTTTTTTGAAAAAACAAGACCGTTGTCAGAAAGCTCACTGCACCTATCTAGGTTCGGTGTGAAAACGCTGTTTTTAGCATTTTCAAAACGCATAAGCTGCCAAAATGCAGTTTACCCAAATAGAACAGGTGCGTTTTCAAAAAGTTACCGCACCAAATAAGCTGCCCGAAACGGACCCTTAATCTAAAGAATTTGAATTTAATCTCAACCATACACTTTCATCTAAAACCCTAAATCCTAGTAAAATACTAACTACATAAACCTAAGAAAACCTTAACATTTCCAAATGTTTCTTCTGCACAGCCTCATTTGTTTCTTTCCTTTCCATCCTGAGGACTGAGGGCTCTCATCCCTCGTTGTCTTGTTTCTTTCTTGTCCATCCCAACTTCCCAAGAGCTCCTGCCTCTTATTGTGTGGTTGTGTCATGGGTGATGTGTCGAACAAAAGCTTAAAAGATAAAATGCATTACTAGTGTTTCTCCGGTTTGCCTCCTCTTGAGTCTTATCTTTCAAATCAGAGTTGTGATATGTGAGATCATAGACTTACTAGATTTTGTGTTCTTCTATCTTGCTTCCTAATATTTA